GGAGCTCCCCTGGCACCGCCGGGGTCTCTGTGGGGTCACTGCCACCAGCCCCCAGACACAGGGGGCAAAATCCCACTGGCACAGCTTTGGGGACAGATTTGGGGTCAGGGGACTGGGGACAGGATGAGATTTGGGGACAGGACAGGATTTGAGAACAGGATGGAATTTGGGGACAGGATGGGATTTGGGGACAAGGGATTTGGGGACAGGGGATTTGGGGACAGGACGGAATTTGGGGACAGGACGGGATTTGGGGACAGGACAGGATTTGGAGACAAGGGATTTGGGGACAGGGAATTTGGGGACAGGACGGGATTTTGGGGACAGGATAAGGTTTGGGTACTGGATGAGATTTGGGTACAGGATGAGATTTGGGGACTATGACATTTTGGGACAGGATGAGGTTTGGGGACTGTGTGACATTTTGGGACAGGATGAGGTTTGGGGACTGTGTGACATTTTGGGACAGGATGAGATTTGGGTTCATCCCACTCCTGCACATTCCAGGCTGGAGCATCACCCCCAAACCTCCTGGAGCAGGGTGGGATTCGGGGACAGGACAAGATTTGGGGACAGGACGAGATTTGAGGACAGGACAAGCTTTGGTACCAGGACAAGATCTGGGGATGGGGAGGTTTTGGGGACAGGACAAGATTTGAGGACAGGACGAGGTTTGAGGACAATATAAGTTTTGGGGATGGAACAAGATTTCGGGCCATGGCAATGTTTGGGGACAGGAAGAGTTTTGGGGACAGGATGAGATTTGGGGACAAGATCTGGGGCCATGGCAATGTCCGGGGACAGGCCAAGGTGTGGGGAGAGTGTGAGATTTGAGGACAGGACAAGGATGCGGGACCAGATGAGATTGGGGACAGGACAAGATTTGGGGACAGGATGAAGTTTGGGGACAAGATGAGACTTGGGGATGGGATGAGCTTTGGAGACAGGACAAGGTTTGGGGATGGGATGAGATTTGGGGACAGGACAAGATTTGGAGCCAGGACAAGATCTGGGGCCAGGACGAAGTTTTGGGACCAGAACAAGATTTGGGGCCCGTGTGAGATTTGAGGACAGGATGAGTTTTGGTACCAGGACAAGATCTGGAGCCAGGACAAGATCTGGGACCAGGATGAAGTTTGAGAACGGGACAAGATTTGGGGCCAGGACAAGATCTGGGGCTAGGACAAGATCTTAGACCAGGAAAGATCTGGGGCCAGGACATGGCTTTGGGATGGGACAAGATTTGGTACCAGGACAAGCTTTGGTACCAGGACGAGGTTTCAGGATGGGACAAGCTCTGGAGCCAGGACAAGCTTTGGTACCAGGACAAGATCTGGAGCCAGGACAAGATCTGGAGCCAGGATGAGGTTTTGGGATGGGACAAGCTTTGGGGCCAGGACAAGCTTTGGTACCAGGACAAGATTTGGGGCCAGGAAGAGATTTGGGGACAGGACAAGATTTGGGGCCATGATACAGTTTGAGGACGGGACAAGATCTGGGGCCAGGATGAGGTTTCGGGATGGGACAAGCTTTGGAGCTAGGACAAGCTTTGGTACCAGGACAAGATTTGGGGCCATGATACATTTTGAGGACGGGACAAGATCTGGGGCCAGGACAAGGTTTCGGGATGGGACAAGCTTTGGTACCAGGACAAGATCTGGGGCCAGGATGAGGTTTCGGGATGGGACAAGCTTTGGAGCTAGGACAAGCTTTGGTACCAGGACAAGATCTGGGGCCAGGACAAGGTTTCGGGATGGGACAAGCTTTGGTACCAGGACAAGATCTGGGGCCAGGACGAGGCTTTGGGATGGGACAAGATTTGGGGCCAGGACAAGCTTTGGTACCAGGACGAGGTTTCAGGATGGGACAAGCTTTGGGGCCAGGAGAAGTTTTGGTACCAGGACAAGATCTGGAGCCAGGACAAGATCTGGAGCCAGGACGAGGTTTTGGGATGGGACAAGCTTTGGAGCCAGGACAAGATCTGGGGCCAGGACGAGGTTTTGGGATGGGACAAGATTTGGTACCAGGACAAGATCTGGGGCTAGGACAAGATCTGGAGCCAGGACGAGGTTTCGGGATGGGACAAGCTTTGGAGCTAGGACAAGCTTTGGTACCAGGACAAGATCTGGGGCCAGGATGAGGTTTTGGGATGGGACAAGCTTTGGTACCAGGACAAGCTTTGGTACCAGGACAAGCTTTGAGGCCAGGACAAGATCTGGGGCCAGGAGGAGATTCGCGGTGTCGCCCGCAGCGGTGCCGAGGCGCTCCCACCTGCAGACGCGGCTCTCCTCGGGGTGGCTGTCGCTGGAGCAGAAGAGGCTGCAGGAGCCGCGCGTGTCCTCCAGGAACTGCCGCGCCGAGCCCGCCCGCAGCTCCTCCACCCTGCGCACCCTGTGCGCCTTCTTCTTGTGCCACCACTGGTGCTCCTCCAGGCAGCGCCCGCACAGGAACTCCTCGCACTCCTGGCACCAAACCAGCGCCGCCTCGGCGCGGCAGTGGCCGCAGCCCGGCCCGCCGGCGCTGCGGATCTGCCGCCAGAGCTGCAGGCGGCTCCGCAGGTTGCAGAAGAGCAGGTTGTCCACGGCGGGCACGGCCGCGGCCGCCCGGCAGCGCGGGCACTGCTTGGTGTCGCTCAGGCACGCCGGGCACAGCGTGTGCAGGCAGCGCAGCAGCCGCGGCTGAGGCGACTCCTGCCCGCAGCCGTCGCAGCGCAGGAATTGGAAATCGTCATCTTCTTCCTCCTCATCCTCGCCCTCGGCGGGGTGATGGGGAGGGGAGGCCGGTGCCGGGGTGCTCGAGGCCGGGCACGGCTCCGGCTGCTGCTCCGGTGCCGCTTGTGCCTCCGGTTCCGTCTCCATCTGCGGGGATGCGCCCCCGGGATGGAGCAGGTCGGGGGTCGGAGCTACAGATCCCGCTCGGGGCTCTGCTGTCCCGCCCCTCGCTCCCTCGCCACCCTCCCGAGCTCTCGATCTTCCCGGAATCTCGGGTTCCCGAGCGCCGGTGGAAGTGAAAGTAAAACGCTTTCCGTGCCGCCATGGCCACCGCCCCTTCCTGCCCCGACAGAGGGAAAAGCCGGGACACCCGGACCCCAAAATCTCCCTGGCTGAGACCCCAAAACCCCCTTGGCTGAGACCCCAAAACCCCCTTGGCTGAGACCCCAAAACCTCCCTGGCTGAGACCCCAAAACCCCCTTGGCTGAGACCCCAAAATCTACCTGGCTGAGACCCCAAAACCTCCCCGGTGGCAACCCCAAAACCTCCCTGGCACCGACCCCAAAACCCCCTTGGCTGAGACCCCAAAACCTCCCCGGTGGCAACCCCAAAACCTCCCTGGCTGAGACCCCAAAACCCCCTTGGCAGCGACCCCAAAACCCACATGGCAGCGACCTCAAAACCCCCCCGGCAGTGACTCCAAACCCCCCTTGGCAGCAACCCCAAAACCCCCTTGGCTGAGACCCCAAAACCTCCCTGGCACCGACCCCAAAACCCCCTTGGCTGAGACCCCAAAATCTACCTGGCAGCGACCCCAAAACCCCCCCGGCAGTGACCCCAAAACCTTTGGCTGGGACCCCAAAACCCCCTTGGCTGGGACCCCGAAGCCAAGGGACCCCCCCTTCCCACCCCGCCCTAAAAACGCACCCGGCCCCTCTCCCCGGGCTGGGGCTCCGGTCTGTCCCCGGGACCCCCCGGGTCCCCCCCGGGTCCCCCCCAGGTCCCCCCCCGGGTCCCCGGTCTGGCCCGGGTCTGGCCCGGGTCTGTCCCGGGTCCCTCCCGGTACCTGCGGGGCGCGGCGGGGACGGGAACGGCGGGAGGAGGAGCGGGGAGAGGGAGGGGA